GGGCCAGGCCCAGGGGAAGCCCCAGGTCCTGTATTCCCCAAAGCTCCCTTCTCTGCAGACCCATCTGTCTCAGCTCATTTGTTGATGGAGAAACCCTTTCCTGGTGGCCCTGGGTGGTCATGGGTGGGACAACACGTAAACCAAATTTTGGAGTCCGGCTGTGCTGTGTGACCCTGGGCAAGCCCCGAGTCTTCTCTGATGCTCAGCTTTCTCCTCTCTAAGATGGGGTTGTCATGAGAGCAAAGAGAGGTAGAAAATGATGAGCAGATGTGAAGGGGGGTCATCAGTAACGATTTTAATAGCAAGTGCCACTTAGACAGCATTTATCAGTGCCAGGCTCCAGGCCAGCTGCTTTGCTGCATGTACGGACTCACAACACGTTGTTCTCCCCATTGTACAGAGGAGGAAGCTGAGGCCCAGAGGGTTCGAAGCCACGCAGGGAGGAGGTGTGGGAGCTGGGATTTTAGCCCAGGTCTGGCTCTTCACCATGGTGCTCTGCTGCCTCCAGTCAAGCATGGACTCACAACACGTTGTTCTCCCCATTGTACAGAGGAGGAAGCTGAGGCCCAGAGGGTTCGAAGCCACGCAGGGAGGAGGTGTGGAAGCTGGGATTTTAGCCCAGGTCTGGCTCTTCACCATGGTGCTCTGCTGCCTCCAGTCAAGCACCACGGGATGTAGCAGTCACAGAATGGAGAACCCAGACTCCTGACTGTCTCAGGGCCTTGGCTGCCCCCATCAGGAGGTAGCACCTCATCTGAGGAGGGAAGGAATGTCGCGATCTGATGTGGAGGCTGCTGCTGGCAGGGGCGGGTGTTGTGAGTATGGGTGGGTCCCCAGGAGGCCTCTCTGGCCTGGCCTCACAGAACACACCCACATCTACCCACTGGACTCTTGACTCCACGTGGGGGAGTGGGTGGGGGTGGCAAGGGGTCCCAGGAGCATTGGGAAGGGGCCCAGGAGTCCCAAAGGGAAGGCAGAGTTAGGACGCTAGCAGAGGCCTAAGGCATGTGCAGGACCCAAGCCTGGCTGTCAGTGTTCACAGGCAGGGGAGAATTGGCCCGCAGGGTCCAGAGTACACCTCACCCAGAGAACCCCCTTCCCCACCCGCCTCGCCTCGCATTTTCCCCTGCCCCCTCCACAGGCTGCAGAAAAAGCAGAGGACTGGAAGTCCAACCAACCTGGGTTCCTCCCTTGAAAAAGTCATCTGATGGCTCCAGAGCTTAGTTTCCTCGTCTGCAGGACGCTGCTAAGAATATCTATCAATGCATCCACATGGAGAGACAGCTCACCCCCTTTCAGTATTACTGACAATAATAATACCAGCTATAAGATACACAATAGTCAGCGTGCTCCTGAGCATTTTACTGGTATTCCATCTCAGTCCTCACACAGTCCTTTTTTTTTTAAAAAAGATGACCGGTAAGGGGATCTTAACCCTTGACTTGGTGTTGTCATGTGCTCCTGAGCATTTTACTGGTATTCCATCTCAGTCCTCACACAGTCCTTTTTTTTTTTAAAAAAGATGACCGGTAAGGGGATCTTAACCCTTGACTTGGTGTTGTCAGCACCACACTCTCCCAGTGAGCAAACCGGCCATCTGTATATGGGATCCGAACCCGTGGCCTTGGTGTTATCAGCACCACACTCTCCCGAGTGAGCCACAGGCCGGCCCACACAGTCCTTTTTTGGGTAGGCACTAATAATACCCTCATTGTACAGATGAGGAAGCTGAGGCACAGAGAGTTTAAGTAATCCACCCAAGAGCACACAGCTATAGGTGGCCATGGCTGTGTCCCTAACCACTGCCCCCCACTTCCCCAGCACTCAGTGAGTGCTCAGTAAGTGTGTCCTCCTGGGACTCTGGGCCATAGTCTTGCTGCCTCCATCTGCCATCTGTCCAGCAGCAGCCCAAGTGAGCTTCCTGTGACATAGATGTGACCGTGGTTATCCCCTACTTATTGTCTTTTTTCTTTTCTTTTCTTTTCTTTTCTTTTCTTTTTTTGGCATCTGGCTGGTACAGGGATCCAAACTCATGACCTTGGTGTTACAAGGCTGTGCTCTAACCAAATGAGCTAACGAGCCAGCCCTCTCCCCTGCTTAAAACCCTTCCATGACTCCCCAGCATTTTCAGGAAGAAGGCAAAATCCTCAGCCAGCTTTCAGGACCCTCCAAGACCCCAGTCACACCGCCTGCTACCCCAGGCCCCCAGAAGCACCAGCCAGAGTGAACTGACTCAAGGCCCCCCAGAGAACCAGGCTCTTGCTTGTTGATTTGCTCTCCCTGGAATGGCCTCCACTTTAAAGATGTCCTTCAAGGCCACCCTTCTCCGAATGGTCTTCTCTATGCTCTCAGAGCTCACTATACCAGCTCCTCCCATGGCTGAAAAGGTTGAGAATACACCTTGATCTATTTCTTCTGCAACCCCAACTGTCACAAGGGCCCAGCAGAGGCCAGGGGCTCAAGCAGGTGTTTGAGGGCTTAGAGCAGACATGGAGTGCTTAAGGCCCTTCCCTAGAGGGCCCTGGGATACTCTCATAGGCACTGAGCTAGACAGAAAGTCCAAGGGAGCCGTGAACTCACCTGGGTCCCGGTGGCTTTGGTGAGAGCTGAGTAGCTGTGAGCCTGGTGTGTTTGTTGATTGAGCCGTGAATAGTATGTGCCAAGGGCCTGGAGCTCAGTGTGGGCTGGCTCAGCCAGCCAGGGTAGAAGCTGGCTGGGGCTCCCAATGCCCGATAGGCATGTCAAGGTAAGGCAGGCTGGAGGTGGTAACCAAGCCTAGCCCTGCTATTGATCTTACTGAGCTGATTCCTGGGGCACAAAGTCCTGCTGCCTCCAGTGACCAATGACCACACCTGGATGCTGGGCATGTGGCATCCCAGGATGGGACTGAAGGGGAAGAGAGGAGGGGAGGGAAACTACTAATCCCGGATCGTGTTATCTCATTTGTTCCTTAGTATGAGGAGGCTGGGTATGGAGAATCATTTATCTTACCATTGAGGGAAGGAGGCTCAGAGAGGTTAATCTGTTTAAGGTCACAAAGGGTGTGGTGGAGCAGGTCTATAGGAGAAGTAGCATAGAGCAGTGATTGTCTTCTGGAGCCAGGTTCAAAGCCAGATGTTCTGCTTTGAAGTTGTGTGAGCTTGAGCATGTGACTTCACTTCTTGGAGCCTGTTTCTTTATTTGCATTACTAACGGCCCACACTTAAGACACACTCAACGCGTGCTAGGCCCTGTTATTTACCTATATTAACTCATTTAATTCTCATAACCCCATGAAGCAGGAACCCATTTTACATACAGATGAGGAAACAGAGGCACAAAAACGTTGAGTTTCCCACAGTCTCACCCAGGCTCCAGACATGTTCTTAACCCTGTGCTGTAACCTGTCTGCAAAATGCAAGCTCATTTTCCCAACAGATATATTTTTTTTTTTTTTTAAAGATGACCGGTAAGGGGATCTCAACCCTTGGCCTGGTGTTGTCAGCACCACGCTCAGCCAGTGAGCAAACCGGCCATCCCTATATAGGATCCGAACCCGCGGCCTTGGTGTTATCAGCACCGCACTCTACCGAGTGAGCCACGGGCCAGCCCTTCCCAACAGATATTTACAGAGCACTATTATAGGCCAGGCAGGCACTGTTCTTGGGATATAGGAGGGAACTAGACAAAATCCCTGCCTTTAATAGTGCCTATAATGGAGAAGGAGAGAAAGAAAATAAGCAAATACAGATGTAATATTTCAGGTGGTAACTGCAATATAGAAAAACAAAGCCACTAAATATGGGGTAGAGATTAACATTAGGTAAGTGGTCAAGGAAGGCTTCTTGGAGGAGGTGACATGAAAATAGAGAACTAAGTGACTTGAAGGAATAAGCCATGGGAATATCAAAGTGAGGGCATCACATGCAGAGGTCCTGAGGCTGGAGTGGAGTGAGCCATCAGAAAAGAAGGGCAGTAAGGGGAGCAGGTTAGAGGGAATGTCAGCTCACACAGGCCTTGAACGCCATGGTCAGGACTTTGGAGGTAACAGTACCCCCCCCCCCCCCAGGTATTATTAAAGGTCATAATACACGTGAAACCTAGGATATAGTAAGTGCTCAGTAAAAGATCTGCATTCATGTTTTTTATTATTGTGGTAAAATACGTATAACAAAAATTACCATTTTAAAGTGTACAATTCAGAGGCATTTGGTACATTCACGGTGTTGTGCAACCATCACCACTATCTAGTTCTAGAACATTTTCATGAACCCAAAAGGACACTTTGTACCCATGAAGCAGTCACTCCCCATTTCTTCCTCCCTCTAAGTCCCAGCAACCACAAATCTGCTTTCTGTCTCTGTGGATTTGCCTATTCTGGATATTTTATAGAAATGGGATCATATCATTATGTAGCCTTCTGTGTCTGGCTTCTTTCACTTAACACGTGTTCAGGATTCAAACACGTTGTAGCTTGAATCAGTACTCCATTCCTTTTTATGGCTGAATAATATTCCATTGTTTCTATACATTTGGTTTATTCAGTTGATGGGCATTTGGGTTGTGTCCACCTTATGGATTAATGTGAATAGTGCTGCTATGAACATTCATGTACAATTTCAGTTCTCTTGGGTATATACCCAGGAGTAGAATTACTGGATCATATGGTAACTCTATGTTTAATTTATTGAGGAAACGCCAAACTTTTCCACAGCAGCCATTAATATTTTGAAGGGCTTTTATTTTTTGGTGGCTGGCCGGTTCCAGGATCCAAACCCATGACCTTGGTGTTATAAGGCTGCGCTCTAACCAACTGAGCTCACCAGGCAGCCATGGCCATTAATATTTTAATTGTTATTATTATACAGCCTCTATTTCCCTTTAAAGGCTGCTCCCTTCTCCACCACCCTTAACTGTCCCCCAACCCCACTCCTGCCAGGCTGGATTCTGCTACCTACTCCCCGCTCCCAAAGCACTGGCCTCAACTCACTGGAGCCCCTCTCCCCCACCCATCCCTGCAGATGTTTGGCGACATGGACCAGGTGCGGATGACCTCAGAGGGCTCCGACTGCCGCTGCAAGTGCATCATGCGACCCCTGAGCAAGGACGCGTGCAGCCGCGTGCGCAGCGGGCGGGCGCGGGTGGAGGACTTCTACACGGTGGAGACCCTGAGCTCGGGGACCGACTGCCGCTGCTCCTGCACGGCGCCACCCTCTTCACTCAACCCCTGTGAGAACGAATGGAAGATGGAGAAACTCAAAAAGCAGGCGCCTGAGCTCCTCAAGGTAGACTGGGTGGGGTGGGGGCCGAGCGGGTGGCTGTTATGGGCTGATGCCGGGCTGGCTTTCCAGAGAAAAGCCCACACTCTGAAGCAGGTGCTGTTACCACCCCATTTCGCAGATGAGGAAACTGAGGCTCCTAGAGGGGAAGCCACTTCTTTTTTTTTTTTTTTTTTTTTTAAAAGATGACCGGGGGGCCGGCCCGGTGGTGCACTGGATAGTGCGCCACTTGGGAAGCGCGGCGGCACTCCCGCCCGAGGGTGAGGGTTCGGATCCCACACAGACCGGTTCCCGCTCACTGGCTGAGCGAGGCGTGGGGGC